ATCGGCACCATTTGCGCCATAGCCATGGCACTGACCCGCTCCAGGATTACTGGCATGCCCGATGCTTGCAGGGTAGCCTGGAGCAACATTGGGCTGACTAACGCCAGCACCAACGCCCTGACTGTAGACACCACCCCCAAAGGCTGGACCATAGAAACTCGAACCACACTGGTTGTTCTCAGCTCCATGAGAGTCAGCAGCACTACCATAGAACCCGGGTGCTCCACCGGTAGGAGCCCCACCACTCGGGCCTCCAGGAGGTCCAGCGGGACCTTGGCCTCCGCCGGGATGCCCAGGTCCTGGTGGTGGAAATGGAGCATGTCCATGACCATCACTTCCGCCCCCACCTTGGCCGGATGGTCCGCCTTGCCCACCTCCTCCCCCAGGAGGAGGAGGAGGGGGCGGTCCAGCTTCAGCGCGTTCATGCCGAATATTACAGCGCGCACATCGCTCGAGGCCATCACTGCCAAAATGACTGTGATCCTCACAGATGTGGTTCCCACACTCCGTGCAGGAATACATAGAGACCTCCTGGGCACTTTTACGACATGCCCAACATTTCATCTTCAAGAAGTGACAATTGCAACAGTCCCCATCGTCGCCCCGGCAAAGCCTGCAAAACTCACGATTGCACGTAACACACGAGAATTCAGCGTCCGGGTGCCTGCGGTCACTCGGATCATCGAGGGCACAGATCTTTGGCGCACCTGGGCCACCGGTACCAGGCGCTCCTCTTGCGGCCGGTGCCGAGGCCCGTCCACGATCGGATGGAGTTCCAGGGGTCCTCCAGCTATCGCCGGGACTCTGGATATCAGCACGAGCTCTGCTCCCAGGAGTCCTCCAGCTATCGCCGGGACTCTGGATGTCGGTATGGGCCCTAGTACCCCTACCACCTCCTGGATGACGGTCTGGGTTCGGAGAGACGCTCCCGCTATCGCGGAGCGGCCTTTCCAGGTTCGGAGAAATGCTCCCGCTATCGCGGATTGGCCTTTCCCCCCTCGATTGCCGACTCCGGACCTCAGATCCCCTATCGGGGACGGCAGCAGGCCTCGGGCTCCTATTTCTACCCACATCCCTGTTGGGGGAAACAGAAATGTCCCCCCTTGCGCGCGCGCCGGGGCCATCCCTCGCACGCTCCGGCGGTGAATGCGCCCTCACTCGCCCTGGCGGGGAATGCGACCTGTCAGGCAGTCCCCGAGCTCTTCTGCTTCTGCTGTCAGCCCTCTCCCTATCGGGATGAATGGGATGCCTGTCTGCACGAGAAGGATCGACCCTACCGGGCACATTTGGCAGAACATGATCAGTCAAATCAACACCCCCGCCCGGTCTCACCGGAAGGCCAGTACCCCGACCGTTACCTTCCCCAGGAGTGGGCGTCGGAGACCTGATTCTATGTCCCTGCCCCGCAAAAGCATTGTATCCAACATTCCGTCTTTCTCTGGGTACTTGAGGATTCATCTGATTATCCTGGACACCCTGAATGATGCCAGCGGCCTCATCAACATGACCTTCAATCTCAGAGAGCTGAGCCATGATTCTGTTGTTCATTCCATTAAGAGTACGCATGTTACTCTCGACAGTGTTGATTCTCCGCATTGCGCCATCAAGCGTGTTCCGAAATGAATCGAGCTCACGCCTAACGGCAGACCGCGCTTGATCACTATTCGCAGGGAGATTGCGGATCTGCCTTCTGATGTCATCAAGGACCCGGTTCAGAATTCCCGATCTCGCTTCATACTGCTCAACGTGGGACTTCACGGTCTCAAATCTCGCGATGACATCGTCGTGATCCCGATGTTGGCGTTGAACTCCGCGAGATAGGTCCTGGACCTTCCGATTGACCTCGTCAATTGCCTCATGCCAGTCCTGCGGGGAATCACCCTGATGGTCTATCGACCGCCTGGGACCCCCTTCCACTTTGCAGCCTCGACATTCGATCAGCAAGAATGATTTGTCCACCAATAGATTCGGAGGCCCACTTAGCAAACTTCTCGTGTTCAAGAAGAACCTTCTCGAGCTTCAGGTTTAACTCCCTGAAACTCGCGTTCGCCCCACTGCTGGTAGCCCTATCGGGCGGTTGGGCAGCAGGATTCAAATTCCATTCACCTGCTGGCGTCCGCATCCCAACGGTTTTCTCTACCGAGAACATCCGCCCCTCAAGCTTGTCCAAGTCCTTAAGGATCTCATCCTCGGAAGCAGCATGGCTCCTGCGGGTGGCCTCACGATTCTCTTGAATCATCTGACGAAGCTGATCTGTTGCGATTTCACTGTCCTTAACAGACTCATGAACCTCGTGGGAAAGCAGATTGATCCTCTGATCCACGGCTTCAGCCTGTTCATCGATGGCTTGCCTCACAATGGCCTTGCTGTCAGGAATAACTTCGCTGGCAAACCGTTGAACTATCATTCGCATCCTACCGGCATCAGATTGAGTCGCAACCTCAGTCGCCAAACGATTGACCCTGTCCTTCGTCTGCTGATTCTCGTCGCTCCACTCCTTTCGCATGGAACCCACCTGACCGTTCAGTAACCTGATTTGGTCAGCAAAGATATGGAACGCTTTCGCGACTGAACTAGACACCTCACCCCTCTCGAGCATCTCCTGGATGTGCAAATCAAACACCTCCTTTGCCCTGGCGTCACCTGACTCACCGGAAGAATGGGACCTGCGTGCTGGAGGAGTCGCTATCTCGATCCTCTCAGGAGCCCCACTAGCTTTAGCAAGCCTTCTGGGTTCGCCTACAGGACTATCACCTATCCTGGACGGCCTGCTAGGGGTAGATCCCCTTCTCCGGCTATCGCCAGATCGGGGATCAATGTTGGATGCACGAGACTCGGGAGTAGAGTGAATGTGAACATCAGCAGGATCAGGCATCTCCTCATCCTGCGGAGTTGAACCCATTGGTGAGGGGCTAGCCCTCCTCGCCTTTGACCTATCGGTCTCAACCAGGGGTGACGGCCTCTTCGCAGAAGCACTACGTTCCCTGGCGGTCGATCCCCATTGAGGGGTGAACTCGTTGCTAGACCTTAGTGTTTCTAGGTCACTGGGATCTCGCCCTAACGGGCTAGCGATCGACGGACGATCCTCGATTCCGAGCGCATCGGCTAGCCGACCATCTTTCACACCTGCCCCAACGGCATCGGCAGCCCGCTCAGTGATTCTCGGTGAACCAGTAACCCGGTTCGAGTTCTCGTCTCTCTGATTCAACGAACCTCCAAATGTAATGTTGGGAAAGGGGGGAACATTTGGGGCATCACCGATCACTGGGGGACCTACCGGCCCCTCCTTGTGATGGATGGCCTCCAATCCTCGAAGAACTTCCCGGCTATCCCTCGCTCTCTCTCTCTCGCTTCGGGCGTCCCTGTCAACTCGAAGGTCCCTAGCGTCTCCACGAGAGAGGCTCCTGGGCCTCGCAGCAGCACGGATCCTAGCATTTCGGCGTGATTGGTTCTCTTCCTCATCACGACGATCCGCAAATGCGGCATATTCATCATCATCATCGAACTCAAACTTGGCAGTGGCAGGGCTAGGCCTTGCAGTAGTACGGTTTCCCGCATTTCGGCGCGAATGGTCCTCCTCCTCATCCGCAAAGTTGTAATCTTCACCATCATAAAATTCAGACTTGGCAGTATTGGGGTTGGGCCTATCGGCATCAGATCCCTGCTTTGAGCTACTGCCCCAGCCTGCGGTCGATTTCAACAGAGCATCGTATCCGAAACCTGTGAACTTCCGCTCCTCGCGCTCATCAAACTGACCTGGATTTTGAGAACCAGTGGATCGACCCGAGATATCTCTCGGAGCCAAAACCATAGTCCCTGGTCCCTGCAGCCTGTCCTCAAACTCATCCGAGACCTGCGATTGAACAAGAGATCTCGGGAGTCGGGTTGGCATGTTCTCCGTGTCGTCCGAATGAGGGCGGGCCATGTTCATCGCCATGCTGATGAAGTCGAACTGTCCACGCCTGTGACCTGATTCAGAGCCGCTCCTATCGGAGCGAACCCTTCGTGTCTGCTCATCATCAGTGGCCTGACGGAAAATGCGATCATCTCCATCGTCGGTGTACCTGCCACGGCTTCTGGGTGTGTCCCTACCGGGATCTTCACCCCTGCGGTCCTGACCTGCCGAACCTGCTTCGAAGTCCTCATAGTCGAAGTCCGGTAGGTCCTCACCTGAGCGGAGGCCACGTAGGATGGCCTCCTCATCCACGACGCTCCTCCGGGATCGTGGGGTCGACATAGAGCTTGTAGTTGATGGTCTCAAGCGCGTAGGAAAGTCCTACGGCTGATAACCTGTGATTCGGGCACGAGCCTGTGCCCAGGCAATGGGTAAGTTGGGGTAAACAAGCCACAAAAGAAAGGTTCCCCAAAAGCAAACCAATCCCCGGTCCCAAAGATCAGGGTTTCCCACACACCAGAGAACAACAACCAAAAGGGAAACAAACCAAACAAGAAAAGGGTTAACCCGCAACCTTGATCGACAACAGGCCGCACGACTGGTCCCTACCAACCTGGCGGCAGCCCGAGGTCTCTTTCTCCCCCGAGATGCCGTCGGTCGACGCAGGGGTTCGGCGACGCCCATTCGAGGCGCGACGGAACCCAAAATCTTGAGCCAAACATCACAGGTCAGTCACTACCGCGACATCCCTGATGATGAAATGAATCATGGCCAATCACATTTTGGAAACACGGGCAAACACAACTGACCGTTGGTGAACATTGCTTGCTCAACAAGCCATGTTTGCACAATTCTGTTCTGTCACGATTCAGGCCAAGGAAAAGAGAGGGCAGTTTAAGGGGTCGAGGGGACCCGTGTCAGCACCAGGGTAAGGGACTCTGGTTCAAAACAGGAAAGCCCACACAAAGTGCAGACATCCCCGCCAACATTTGCCAAAAACCAGAAACAAAAGCTACTTCAACAAAATCCATGGAAACAAAGGAGTGCCACCTTTTCGTGGGACTCGTGGGCCCATCCGCCCGCACACCAGGCTCTTACGAGCGGCTCTCGGTGGTGGTAGGTGTTCCAAAGCTTCGAGGTGACCCAGAGGTCACTTCGGGTGCAGAGCTCGTCAGCGATGGCTCGCCGGATGCCGGCGCCCACCTCCGTCTCGTTGCCTGGGGCAAGGGTGGAACATAATATGCGATTCGAAGCAGCGAGTGGCGCGGCTTGCATACCCCCTCTCTCTTCCAACAGGACGGACTGTTTGAATTCCAAGTCGCCGGTTTTCGATTCGAGCATGTAAATGGTAGCGAGCCAAAAATACATCTGCATGTCAAACGAAAAGTTCAAACGAGGCGCCATAGTCAGCAGCACTGTCAATGTGGCGGTAGCCTACCTGCCGGAGTCGACCCATGCTGCTACAAACTCGTTGTCCTTTCAAAGAGAATTTGTCGACAATGGTCTCAACTGCAGTTGTGAAATCCCCCAGTCATTGACAAAGGGGTTCTGGAGGAATAAAGGCAACTCCCACCAAACAGGGACCCCTCTTGACAAGTGTGCTACTTTTAAGTGGGGGCCGAATTCTTCGGCCAAAGGTGTGTTCAAATGGGTCAAAGGCACACGACTTCTACGGCAGCCTCGCATCCCCGGCGCCTTAATGGCATTGTAGACGACCTCCTGTTGCTTCAGGTGAAAGCCGGGAAGGTGTTTGGACAACCAAGCCCGGGTCCATTTGTTGTGGCATGAGGTTGCTTAAGATGGGATTCTGAAGCAAACCGAGGATTCTGAAGAAAACAAGTTGCGTCGGCTGTTGGATTCGCCAACCCTTCGATCGTTTTGTGCCTTTTGCGCGAATATGCACACGGCGTCTGCATCCATTGCTTGACTGGGTGGGTTAACGTGACTGTGAAATCCTCAAAACTATCCTCAGGGTCCCACCCCCAAAGGCAATCTGAGAACCCCTCAAAGTGCCGCCACGGTTTTCGGGACTCAGTTTCAACGATGGCGGTTCTTCAACATTTAAGAATCAGCCGCCCTTTTAAGGACCTTTCCCCGTCCTCTGTGACGCCCTTCTCTGCCTTCCAGCATCCCAGGCCCACAGCTGGCATGGTCATGGCACGCCTTATCCGCACCGACTTCTGATTGGGATGGTCCCTTCGCTTGCCCGAACCGCTTCTGCTTGTGCCGAAGTTACGACGCCGGATCCAGCCACATAGGCTTCATGGGAACGTGACGGATTTGAGATTCGGGTGAGCCCATTGAGATCGAGTCACCAGGTGAAAGTTTCAGAATTGAAGCGTGGTTCGGTTCAAGACAGCTCTTTTCAGGAGGGTTGGGCAGAAGTTTCTTCCACTCACTCCAAAATTCCACGGACAAGGCCGCAAACCTGCAACTGCGCCAAACCACCAGATATGCCACCGCACCCAGCGGCCTGTGCTTTCTTGAGTTGCTACCCTTGTCCGATTGGTTTAGAGCAAAACCAAAAGGAAGGCCACTTTGGGCGTTCCCTTTCACACACACAAGCTGTCCCGACAACCAACCTGAGCCACGTTGGGCCAGATGCTTGCTGCTTCTAGCCACCCCAAGCCCTAAGCACACGTCAAACATGTCTACTTGAGCCGCAAACAATCTTGCTTAGTTGCCCCAGAGCACATGGGAAATATGTGAGTCTCTGTGCTTCTTGTGGGACATTTCGCAAGCTCCCCATGTCCATCCCAAATTTAATGTGAACCATGCACTACTGGTAATTTTGACCGAACGCTGAGGCCCCGAACGCCATGACCTGGCTGCTCAGCACATCCAAGCGCCGCATGACCGCCCCTCTGACTTGAGCCCGTTGAGCCGAGTTCGACTTGGCGCTCCAGTGGCAAACCTCTAGGTGCTGAATAGGGTGAGGAAAAACAGAAACATAACTTAACATAACCGTCCTCTTATGGTTTTGGGGCAGGGATGGTCACCCTCCAGGGATTTTAGACATGGCAAAGATTACAACTCATGAAGTGATAACCGATGATGGCCCACAGCAGTTTCCACCATGACGAACATGGCTAGCACATGGCAAGTCTTGCAGCTTGGTGATATCCGAAACGCTGCATAGACCTGGCTGCAAATGGCCGGGATGATGGTTGATGGCTCCTCCGATGTTTGATAGCAGCGACCTTCATGTTTGACTGCCTGCCGTACCGCGGCAAATTTGTTTCCAAAAATCACCAAAGGAAGCTGCGAAGCATTCCTGCCATTTTGGAAGCTTACCGATTTGAACATTGCAGAACATGAGGCTCTAGGTCAGGGTGCGCAATGGCCCAAAGTTGTCAATTTTCCTTGAAGGAGACTTGGGTGCGGCTCAACATTAAACAGCAGAGGTTGCGCACTTTTTGGTCCATGTTTCCACTTACCAGGGTTCCATTTTGGGTACCGGTTTTTTAGCCATGCCAACTTCAAGAAAAGGAACCGGAAAAAGACCATGTGCCACACCTCACCCTGGGCTTCTGAGCTTCGGGCCAGACTTGTTCAGCAGCCCATACTGCTCCAAGACCTGGCGCTAGGTCACTATAGGAGGTCTTGCAGTCTGCATCCAAAAACTACTGGAAGAGGTCATCTTTTTACCATGGCGGGCACATCAGACCAACCACAAAACACTTTGAATTCGTAAGCAATGCTGCCCTTGCCTTCGACGCCGAAACAGCCTTGCTGCGTTCAAACCAAAAACGCAAACTCGCTCAAAATAGCTATTCGGTCAGCTGCTTACAAGTCTCGTTTGCGCTGTCTGCAACTTTGCTGAGCTCGTTTACCATGCACTCCCTTCAGCGAAAACTGCGAATTCGGATCCGCGCCGTCTCCAAAGGCTCAGAGGAAGCAATGTAGGCGTCGCTGTCAAGCCAAGCCACAAAGTCGCAACTCCTGACGAACAAAATGCCAAATAGAACAAGGCATTTCAATTAGTGTTTTTTCCACTGTACTCCTCTCACCTTGCTTTGAAGGGAAACCAAAAGGAAACCGTTGTTTTTGTTGGGAAGGGGGCGGACCCCTATTTTGACACATACCCCCGATGTTCTTCAAGCTCCAGCACTTGATCCCGGGCTTGACTGAACGGGCACGTCGAAGCAGAACATAACGTTGCACCCTCTTTCCAAACATGAAAGTTGACTTTCGAAAAAGAACTGGAAGACCGCCAGCCTCTTGAAAGGCCCCAGCCTCTTAAAAGGCCCAAGGACATCCACTTGCTGGCAAAAGAGTAGGCATGGACACTGTGTGTGCGTTCGTCTTTGCAGCGCTGATGTGTCCAAACCTGAGGATGGGCCTTGCTTTGCATTCCCCCGAACAGGACATGCCATCCATCTGGCACTTGTTCTCGCAATTGGTCCCCCGGAATGTGATCAATGAACTTTGACGCCAGCCCACGACTCGATCGCCAGACGCCATGTTGCAAGACGTAGTGTACGTGTGCCATTGCTGGCTGGTGCAAGCATGTAATGTCAGCCCAGACTTATCAACCTGCTTGAGTACCGGGGGGACGTGAAGGATCCCCTCTATGCATCAAACCGGGGTTTGTACAACCTATGCGAATGTGAAGCTGCTGCTTTGGTTGGAGTACAGCCCCTCACCTCCATGGCCAACCACGCTCTTCCAACCAAAAGTGGGAAGGGCATCCAGGCACCCGAGAAGTAAGACCTCGCCCCCCCCCCCCCCCCCCCTTCCCCCCTTCCCCCCCCCCCCGATTTTTCTTCTCAGCCCTCCTGTCTTCCAGCTCCTGCTGCACCAAACGAACAATAGCCCACTGCACCCGCCTTGCGAGCCACTGGCGTTCACCGAAAAAACCCACGAAGACAAGCAACACACAACAAAACAACTCGCAAACAAACACGCAAGCAATACGATCAACTATAAACAGCAAAACAACATAGATCAACAAATCAATCGATCGACAGATCGACCGACCGATTAACCAACCAACCAACCAACCAATCAATCAATCAGTCAGTCAATCAACCAATCAAATCAGTCAGCAAACCAAAAGGGGAAAGCTGGCACTCAACAACTAGGTGTTGATTGAACGTTTGTTTGATGAGCTTTGCTTTGATTGATTGGATTGGATTGCATTGGATTAGATTGGATTGACTTATTGATTGGCTGGCTGGCTCGTTGGCTGGTTGGTTAGTTGGTTGGTCAGGTTGGTTGATTATTTGAGTTGATTTGTTTTCATGTGATTTAATGTCATATGATATGGTTCGATTGTTGCTGGAAGTGCATTGATTCATTGTTTCGTTGATTGATTGATTTGCTTGATGGCTTGGTTGATTGATTGGGTCAACGTATCGTATCTTGTTTTGATTGGCTTGGTTGGTTTGCCTGATTTGGTTGACTTGATCCATCTGGTTTGACTGATGTGAATTGCTTGATTTGATTAATGCCTGATTTGATTGATTTGGTAGGCCTGATTGGTTTCGTTGATTTTATGTATACACCTATATGTAATTGTTGTTACTATTGTTAGTATTTAGTGTTGTTATTACTATTATTCATTTGATTCATTGGGGCTTTCCAGCAAAAATGTCAACCCCACCTTGTTGCATGCCCTCTGAAAATACTGATAAGTAGTAGTAGTAGTAGTAGTAGTAGTAGTAGTAGTAGTAGTAGTAGTAGTAGTAGTAGTAGTAGTAGTAGTAGTAGTAGTAGTAGTAGTGGTAGTAGTAGTAGTAGTACTAGTAGTACTAGTAGTACTAGTAGTAGCATGGATGGGTGTCCTCAATTTGGCTTCATGGCGCGAAAGCCCATCATGTAGTTCCTTCCTTTGGGGATTCCGGATTTCAGATTTGTAACGTTCGAGATGAGATGCAGCCGATTGCAGCCGCGTTGGTGCAAAAGCCTCGCAAGGTTTATTCATGATGCTTTCTGTTGCCCGTGCCTCAGGATTCTACACAGGTCGACCCTCGCAAACATCTTCATGTTGGCCTGCCTTGGTGGCTCCATTCCGTCCGACAGCATCCGCCCCAGCTCGCCGTGGCTCACGTCTGGCCTCACAAGAGCTGAGGCTTGCGCCAAGCCAATGGTAACCCCATGGAGGCCCAGTGGCGGGCCATGTATCCTTCAGGGGACTCCACTGAACTGCGCCTATACCTCTCTCCCTGCCAATGGGACTCGGAAGCTGGGCTGGGAAGGCGGGGCGTTGGCCGGGAATGCGGCGCGTCCAGCATGCTTTTACATTTGATTCAGTAATTATTGCTGGGTCCGAGTGGTTTGGCATTGCTGCGTCTGAGTCCGAGTTGAGTTTCCATTAAATTAGTATTCCATATGATTGACTATGAGTATTGCTGGATTCAATTTGATTGAGTATCAGTATTGCTGGGTCTGAGTTTCCATTTTATTTAGTATTGGTTCTGGAATTGAGACTAGTTGAGCAGGCCTTGTTTCTCTGGGTTACTGGTCCTGGGGCAAAAGGTCGACCGCCCTTTGGTCGACCACCTTGGTAGGTCCAATAGAAAGCCTTTGCTTCCAAAAGGACAAGGCCCTTTCGCCGGCTTTCTCTGGGGCACGTTTTGCCGAGCTTCGACCTTAGCCCCGCGCCGGCGGAAACGGTAGCCATGCAGGAGAGCATACAGCCTGGCAGGTTTCACTGGGGGAATCTGGCGACTGAAGATTGACCATTGGGAGAAAAACCGCCGATCAGCACCAGTTGGGACGATTCAAATCCTGACACTGAGATAAACTGCCTGCCAACAGCCCTGCGAAGTGGATGCTGTCCATCCACAGTATCTCTGGCGAACATAAGCGGTTGTCTCCTAGACTTGGGCAGTCATTCAGGTTGTCAGCACTGCATTTCCTCGATGCTGAAAGAAATCCAACCAGCTCAACATGCCCATGCGAATGCCTTCCTTCCGCACGTTCCACTCCTATGAAGCCCTGCAGTCCCACAACAACGTGAGGGGAGCCGCCGTGAAACCCGGTCCCCAACAATTCAACCTGCATCGCCAAGTTCCACACGGAGAAATCCAAGCTATTCAGCATAACCAGAGAACGGGCTCGAAATTGGGTTACTAGCGTTTCCCCGTACATCCCTGATGGGCCCTCAAACCATTTTGGCAAGCCATGCACATTCTTCTGAAGACCAGTTTGAGTTCCGGCTTGCAGCCCACTGATTGTTTCCTTGGCCCTGAATCTCCCATCTTGAATAGGCAGAATTGCGTCATCTTTGCAAAACCGACGGAATTTCAGCAGGGAATCATCATGGTTGTGGAAACCCTAGGGATCTCTTTGCATGAACCCACAATTGGATGGTTCATGGAGCGGTCATTTCCTTGTTTCCTACTAAGCGCTAAGACAGGCCACCTGCAACGCAACCAGCACCTGTTCAAGTGAAAGGTGAGGCTCCAGAAGCGCGTCAACTTCTCGGGCTCCTACGAAGGAAGTCAGCCTCCAAGATCCGGTTTTTGAATGCGGAGCCATCCGTGGCAGTGGCAAGGACCTATAGCACCTAAAGGAATTCATCGATTCATGTGAGGTTGATGGCGTCATGCTCTGACCTCACTGCTCTCCTGGTGTGCTAAGGGCAGACCTTACATTCCACGAAGCTATGAAGCACTTATACAAGATCCCAAACAAGATTGGCTTTCAAGCAGTGCGCAATACTGCGCAGTCAGCCAGGTTGCAAAGATCAAATATAATGCCATGCGAATGGCGTCAAGGATAAATCTGCTAGCATCACCTGATTTCCCAACCGAGTGCTGAGCAGCATCTTCTCATGGCAGCAGAAACTGCCCCAGGCTTCACAACTGCAAACCAGCGACGTTGAACCAGGCATGGATCCCGACCCCAAACTATAACCGACGGCTCGGATTCAATTTGGATTTGGGCAAAGTCTGCCTCCCAGTTCCCTGGATCTTCGGTAAGCTCGTACCTGGGCCTTCCCATATCACATCCTCGGCCACCAGCCGCTGCGGCTCTGTCTCAAGAGGCCTGTGACGGTGGGCACAATTTGGAAAGGCTCTGTCCAAGGCTAACAAAAACTTTCAGAGGAATCCATATGCAAGCAGGCAAGGCAGCATCCTTGGCGTATCAATCTGAGGCCAACATGCTCAAACCCACCCTGCCAGCAAATCCAAACCGCAATGGAGAGCAGCACGACAATTGCCTTTCATTGGTCTCTCAGTTGCACATGGAGCATTTGTGAGTGTGTCCCTAAGTGTCGCTCAAAAAACCCAATGTCGTATACCAGGTTCGTTCCCTCACCCTGGCACTGACCGCACGCAGGCTAAGACCATGTTTTCTGTCCATTTCGTCCTGCATGTGTAGGGAGCTGAATTTTTAAATGTTCCAAGTGCCCGATCCGTCACTGCGCAACACGAGGCTTTCAAGAGACTAGCAGCTGACCAGCACCTGGCATCGAAAATGCAAAGTGCAACTGGGTGCCAGCACCTTGCGAACCCCGCGTGAGGCTCGGGACAGGCCGTGCTCAGAAGCCGACGTCGGTCCCTCTCAAGCAAAACAGTTTTTTTTGCTTAATGGGTTTCCTGCAAGAACCACTCAAAAAGTGTTTCAACCAATGACAGCATTCACAACATAGCAATACTGGCAATACTTCACCCTCATTCCTTTTGTGGCACGCTGTGAATTCGGATCGGACCCTGGTTATTAAAATTCCGCGCGCTCCGCGGGTCATTCCAAAGCTGCAATGGACGTGCGGCCTCGGCCTGTGGTGTCTGAGAGCCATGAACCGTGTTCCGTTCACTGCAATGTGTCTTGATTCGCATATGTTATTTATCTATTTGTTTAAACTGGATCCCGCTCGTGACCATCACTTGGGCCTGCCAATGTGAGGCCAGGATCAAGCATATCTGATATCCCACTGAGCACGCCCATACCGAAGCCTGATAACAAACATGTTCGCTGCATAAGCATCTTATCAGATTGGTCTGGCCCTTGCGCAAAGAGTGCGTTATGCGGGAAAATGACAAACGTGGAGTTCAGCACGCAGGCCTGGCGAAATACGTCACACCGGACCAGGCAAGCAAGGAGTGGCTAAGCAGCCCCAGCCAGCAACTTGCAAGTCCAGTGTGGCAAACTCACTCCGATGTTGAACTCGTGGATCCGATTTAAACCATTCTTCGCTGAGGATCTTTTGTGGCCCGTTGCATGGACGTCCTTTCTTTTGCGGCCCTGACACCAAGGAAACACAAATTCAACTCTTTACGCATCCTTAATTAACCAAAAATGGCCTTCCAATGACTCTGGCCTCCTCCACTTGACACATGTCCTTTGGCCCAGTGACCGAAGATAAGAAACATGTTTGCCACACTCGGTTGCATGGAAAAAACAGTTTGCCGAGAGACGCGAGCGGGCTAGCAAAGCTCTGGCCGGACCAAGCGGCGCGAGATGGCATTTGGCTCCATCAGGAGCATTGACCGTTCAACTGAGGTAAAACCTCTGAATTCCGCAAATGAACAAGCGATGGAGCTGTCTGTTGTTCAGGCCCCTCGGCCCAGCGCAAACTTTGAGTCAACACTTTGGATCAAAGCATTCCAGCCAAAGGCTGAACAGTGTTGGCAGCAGCCCCCACCAATGCTTTGGCTGTTGCTATGGCTGCGTACGGCATCGGGCATCCATCCGCTGCAAACTGGGGTTGTTCAAACTGGGCTCTCGGATTGCTCTGACATAATGGGGGCCCAAGAGTAACAAACCCTGGTTGGGTTTTTTCGGGGAACACCCGAAAGAAACCCTTTGTGGTTCACTGGTCCGTCATGCGACCCGATTGAGCAACCCAGGCCAGGAGCAGTGGTGCAAAAAGTCGCGGGGCCAAGGGACCCTTGGCCCGGCCATGCGGAAGATCGGCCGCCGAGAGGGAGCGAGCTCTCGGGGGCGCCGGGGCGGCTTGCAGTTGAAAGACGTGGGCTTACATCCTCAATGCCGCGGCAAAGGGACGACCACTCTGTCCGAATTCAATCTGGACAAACACACTGACACGTGAACACGTATTTCCTCAGCTTGAGCCGCTGAAGCTCAGTGGAAACTGACAGATCAGGATATGCCTCATGGGATGGATTGCCAATTTGCCTGTTGCTGCTGGTCTCCCTCAACCACCCCCCTGTGACTCAATCAGCCAATCTCAGAAGCGTTGATAGCCATGTGCACACCTTAATCTCCTGGTGCATGATGAAGTCGAGCAACTGTGTAGAATCTCTCTGAGGCGCCTTCACAGAAGACTACTTTTTGCCGAATGGGGTGTATATTTGAGGGTATCCTTTTTGCCTTGGTTTAAAGGACAACCAAAAGACATAATTAACATTCGTTGTCGTTTGCTTTGCTTTCTTTTGGCGGGGTCCCCATTATTGTGACACATGCATGTTATTGACTTGACGCATAGGTCGGCATAGAGTCAGGTCCAGCGTCACTGCAGGCTGAACCTTGGGCTGTCATCCCAGCCGGCCGGCCGGCTAGCACAGTGAATCCACACGAACAGCGCTTCTGAGAAGTTCAAACATCTGATCGCTTGATGCGGCATTGATCAGAATGTAATTTCATGCATGGACTCGCGGCCTTCTGCCTTTGTCTTCAGCCAGCTTCCGGAATCTTATTGCCTCGCATGTGTGTGTGGCCTGCCCGGCAGCGCTGAATTCAATGGAAACTGGGGGAGCCAATCCTGTAGTTCTTTGGCCCGGAAAATTGGGGGGGCATTCTGCAGCAGCCATGCAAACCACTGCGCGGGAAGGTGAAGGGGTGCCTAAGTTGCCTCGGTCTTACACAGGCTGGCCCGTGACTGAGGCAAGCTTGATGAGGGAGCCTCTGTCAAACGTCGAGTGTCCTGCTCATAGCGGCCTCGCTCACGCAGGTGACAATGAAGACAGCTATTATGAGCATTCCATCCCAGGGTGCGGAAGAAACAACACAAAGGACATTGACAGTGGCTCAGTCTTCACATCTACCGGGGTGAAACTTTAGCTGAACTGCCCAAGGCATCTTTCGGCGGGCCACGTCAGGCGGCCTAAGGCGTCTTGCCGGCCACGCTCGTTTGGACCTCCTTGGATAGTGGTCTGTGCCAGCTACTCCCCAGCGTCCATTGCCCATGTTCCATGTAAAACGCGCTCCAATTTAGCAACTCGACTGAGAGGGACGCTTTGGCGATGACTGCAATGCAGTTGACACAGCCCGGAGCGGGGAATCCGATCCGACTTTCAACGGGCCTCGCGTTCCAGACAGGGTTTGGCCACCTTGTAACACGCCTCTACTGTTGAAACAGCCGCCTGTTGGTCCCCCTGAACTGAAATAAGAACTGGATCTTCAATGGACCTGTGAGCTTGAGCCCCCGCAACCAAAAGAAGAAACACACACACAGAACAAATAAATATCTGGCCAATTATCTATAGTGGCTAAAACGCCTGGGATCTGGGGTTGTTGCCGATGCCCAACCTTCCAGCTCCCATCACGAATGTATTTCAGCTGTCCGGCAGCCATCCGCTGCATCGAGCTCACGCCGGCCCTCCCGTTGCCATCATCTCATTTTCCGAGGAAACCCTTCGGTTGGTTCAAAGGGAAATCAAAAGGACAACTGCCATTTCGGGGTCGCCCTATTTTGGCTGATGCATGCTCGATTACCTTTCAATGTTGATTTCAGCACTTGTCAGTGCAAAAGTGGAACCCGTTGCCAGGAATGGAAAGTTGCTGGCATGAAAAAAGATGAGAAAGCGACTAGATATTACAGCCTGGGGTTCGAATCAAGTTGGACTCACTGAGCACTGCCTCTCGCGGGTTGATTCAACATGGAGTTTGGCTTTCTTTGCCAGGCTCCTGTCATTCCTGCTCCCAGTCAATTCGTTGAACATCCGAACCATCAGGGTAAGTACATGACAAGTTGTTTGGCTTCCAAAAAGAGAAGCTCAGTGGTGAGGCAACGGGAACGAGAAATATTTTCGCTGTTGCTACCGAGCTCGAAGAAGAAAAAGCGCACTCGATATTTGCCATGTCATTCTCTGAAAGCTAGGCCTTCCGGGTCTGATATCAAAATTCTGCCACATGATTGCCTGTAGCCTGGGTTCATCTCGTTGATTTGAAAACACCGTGATACCGGTAAATCTCGCTACTCTGGCACACAACTCCGCATGGCATCTTTTGTTCAGGCGAAGCCTTGGATGAACAGCTAGGTCCCGATAGAATCTGTTCGGGCGTTGTGCGTTCCTTCGGGCAATTTTGGAACCTGAAATTGCCCCGCTTTGCCCCGCACAACAACAATGCCTGGCGTACACCAAACACATTGGTATGTGTTGTTGTTGTTGTTGTTGTTGTTGTTGTTGTTGTTGTTGTTGTTGTTGTTGTTGTTGTTGTTGTTGTTGTTGTTGTTGTTGTTGTTGTTGTTGGCTTCTGTTTTCTGAGTGGCAGTGCCCTTGCCAGGTAGGTTTAAAGGCAATGAGGAAACAGCAAGCTTTGCCCGCCCAGCTTGTCAAATACTGAGTTGATATTTGAGATCCATGGGGCGGTGGCCACTAGCAAGCCTTCTGTTCGAGTATCTAAGCAAAGGTCCCTTCAAGCCCATGAGATCAAGCACAAGTCTAGGCAGACCTTTAGACCTGATGTCCAATGCATAGCCCTCTTGCCCTAGCCCTCGGACAATGCCCATCGCTTTCTGCGAAGGGAGCAGTTGTCGGTACGCGGTACGCGTGAGCAAAGGCTGGGATTGAATTGAATTGACTGCTGAAATCTATGTCAATATTCATGCTGAGGGACTGCAAGACGATGCTGGTCACACTCAGAAAACCATGGCCATGGCCAAGAGATACATGAACAGTGATGCTACGTCATCTTCATCATCATGATCATTCTCTTCATTGTCAGCTTCGTTGGTGCATACTTGCTGGTGATGCTGGGGATGCATAGTCATCTTCATCGTCATCACTGCTGGTGTTGCGGGGGGTGCGTAGTGGGGCGTTTGACGGCAAAAGCCCTAAGCATGGGGGCATGAGGTGTTT